ACAGACTCTTAAAAGACTATCACAGAGAAAATTCAAAAGATGTGTACTCAGAAGACTTAATAAAATTAATACTCTTTCTATTTCATCAAGGGCATTATTAAGTTAAACTGGCTTTCCTTTTACTTCAAGTATTTTACAGTAAAAAATATAATAATTCCTGGTACATTTTGGTGCCACTGCCTTGATTGACATGGGCACCAGGAGTTTTACCCACCATTGTTTTTGCTCCATCAGTGCAAGTTGTCAATGTGGTGAAAAAAAGCAAATAATGTCTTGGTATTATTATAAAAGTAATTTTGGCATCATAGAGCCTCTTAAAAGCATCCTGGGGACTCCTAGGGGCCCACAAACCGCACTTTGAGAACAACTAGTCTGATGGATTTTCCTGCACCTGCTCTGGTCAGCCTACTCTCTTGTTTTAAATCCTAAAGTAGCTTTCCTTGGCTCCTAAGATATAAGTCTAACATCTTTGACATAGTCTACTGTTGGACCTCTTTCTGTTTCTCCAGCGTCATTGCAGGCCATGCTTTTCATCTGTCAACACAGTGCACCTACTCTAGTCTTTTTCACTCTTTCAAATGTACCAGGCCCTTTCCTGCTACAGGGCTACCTCCTCCCCATGCAGTTGCTTTTTACCCTGGGAAATTTTGCCCTCCATGTGATGCTTAACAAACTCCTACTCATTTTTCCAGTCTCCTACTTCAAAGCACTTCCCTGGGGAAAAGTGAAAGTACTCTAAATGAGCTACCCAGGAAACTCACTGCCATACCATCTTTTATTTCTGTGTAGCCCAGATGCCAAATGTAAATACCTAATTATATCATAACTACTGCTTTAATGGCTATGTCTTTTGTTCCAATGTACTCCAGTGAAACTATGCATCTCACACTCAAGACTCTATCCCCAAGGCCAATGAATGAATGAATGAAAGGAACCACATATTTTTATACTTAGTTTGCAGAATTAGGGCTTTGGAGAAAGTCTATAAAAAAGAAGAGAAGCGTCTTAAATTTAGTAAGTCAAAAATCAACACTTTTTATTACAGCTCTGAAACAGGTCACAGCTAATGGAGCTCTTGGGTTAGAAAGTCATCATCAGTAAAGAAAGTACTGAAGTACTTGGCAAGCCGTTGGTAAGTTCCAAGAAGTCCTTGTGGTGGAGATGGTGAGATATTGTCCAGCTTCTCTGAAAATCTTCTGTCTATGGGTCTCTTAGGTATTGAGTGAAAAGTTGTCATTTTCTGAATTTCCTTTAGAACTTTGTGCTTCCCCATTTTGGGCTTTACTTTCTCATCAAGGGTCTGAAAAGTTGTCATCAGTTTCAAATCTTTCTGTACTCCTACAATTGAAGTAAAATTTATCCACTAAAAAATCAGAAAATTAATTAGAAATTAGAAAATTAATTCAATGGAATGCTTACCATCTTAACAAAATCCAACTTCAAACTAATGATAGAGCTATCTAAGTCTTTTTTCCTCATGTTAAGAACAACTTTTAAGGAAGATTTACCAGGCTTCCATTTAAAATCTTCTTTATTCCCCTTCTAGATAACTCTCTTGGAAGTGTTGATCAGGTGTGAAACATAACCCGATTTGTGTATACACGGATCTCACCTTATTCTCTGCTGAAAAACATTTAATTTGTCAAATTTGATTTTATTTACTCTGCTTAATTGAGACAATTACTGAACATTTACTGTGTGCCAATTATTACACTGAGCTCAGGCTATACCCAGATGATTAAGCCTCTAATCTTGCCCACAAGAAGAGTAAAATGCAACCTCTACTACCATGCGGGGTGTTCAAGTTGTTAGAATGTGTGTTTGCTGCTTTGTGGCAGCTTCTTTGTGTTAGCCCAAACCATGGTATTAGTCTGGCAAAGTAATGGTTAAACCACCCTTGCTTTTCTTTGCTATTTTTATGGAATTATAAAATTGTTGCCCTTTCTTTTTTATTTGCCTTTTCTCTTTATAAAAGTGGTCCTAACGCTCCCCACAATTTTTTCTATTTCCACTTTGAGGTTTGATGCAAAAGCAAGGAAGGGAAAACGTAAGAGAAGGGAAGAGAAGAGAAAACACTTCCTGTATGATTTTCAAGACATCAGAACTTGCCTCTCTCTTTTTCACATTCCTAGAGAGTAAAAGGAAGCGGTAATAAAAATGTAATGCACGAAAGGCAAATGGAAAGTAGATGCTGAAAATGAAAGGAAAAAAAAAGTGGCATCTCCTCTGTCCAAATGACGAAATGTTACTTAAACTACACAAGGGATCCCGAGCTCTGCAGAGTGACAGACTCAAACTAACCTGTGTGAGACAAGTCCCCAGGGAGGGCAGCTGGCCCTTTAAGACAGACTGTTACCGAAAGTGCTGGCTAGTTTTCAGCTTTGCTGAATCGGAGAACCCATCTATCTAGCTATTTGTCTGTTTACTTTTTTTTTTTTTTCCACAGAGAAGGTCAGATTCCGAAGACTTAGTCATACCGACTCACACTCAAAAGAGACTGGGTTATAGATGCGAAGACCACGTTAACGTGTGGGAGGTTGGCTACTACCCGGAAACTAATAGATGTCAGTCATTTGGCGGAACACTACCTGTCACATAAACCCATGCTCATGTTCACACAAGAGATGAGATTAGAAATAAAAATGTGTATTAGTGAGCTGAGATGGAAGGGAAGGGAGGGGAAGCAGATCACAGCAGGGAAACCTCCATCCGGTTCCCACAGTCGGATGGGTTCGTTTTCTCCGTGTGGCAATGGCTAACAGGTGTTGAGTGCCTGTTTTGCCCAGGCATTGTTACAGGTACATGACATCATCCTGTCTTCACAACAACCCAGTGGAAGGGATGTGGTTATCATTTCTGTAGGACAGAGGAGAAAAACGAGGAGCCCAAGGTCACACACCAGAGCAGAGGCTGGAGCTATGACATGAACCCCAGCAGTGTGGCCCCAGAGTCACCTGGCCTAGCCACCAGATGGGGACTTCTCCTCTGATGATCCTTCCTCCTACCTAAGATGGACACTTAGCAAGTTCTTACCCTCAGGTTGCCATTCTTAGTGACCAAAAAGCACCATCTGGAGGTGCCCGGGTGACGCAGTCATCTAAGCATTGGACTCCTGGTTTGGGCTCATGTCACAACCTCCCAGTTGTGGGATCCAGCCTCGCATCAGGGTCTCTGCTCAGAGCAGGGTCTGCTTGAGTTTCTCTCTCCCTCTCCCTCTGTCCCTCCCCACTGCTCACGCTCTTTCTCACTCTCTAAAATAAATAAATCTATTTTAAAGAACACTATTCGATTATCTCAGAGACTTAACAATATACTTGAAAGGCTACTGCTCCCTTTTCACTTGCTAAGTAAGTTCCAGTCCTATCTTCCAAACGACATGTTTTGTTGATCTCTACTGGATCTTTGGACTCTCCTGTTCCCATCTGAAATATTTTCAGAAATTATCATGGAGGTTAAAGCATCCATTTTAATGGGTATCACTTGAGTTGGTCTTAAACTCACTGAAGATATTATTTGGAAAACAGTATTGTAGAATAAAAGTTATTCTGACTATCCTTGCTTTCAGAAGACTATCATTTTCTGACACAGTGCCCAAATTTTAGACCTACTCACTTTTTGGAAAATATGGTCCTTTTTGTACTTGCTATGGGACAGAAAGCGCTCTGCATGCCTTCACTATGACAGACACTCAAGATACACATTACTGCCCTCAGGGAACTTACAGTTTATCAGGGCAATCAGATATTAAACAAATCATTAAATTGATTAAAATCAATCAAATTAAATTAAATTGATTAAATTAAATTAATTACAAGCAAATGGAATATAGCCAAAGGAGAATGCTTAAGATTAAGAAATAATATGGAGGCAGAACAATTTAGCAGTGAAGTACCACTTGTATAATAAATTGTGGCTTTTTTTTAAAGATTTTATTTATTTGACAGGGAGAGAGAGAGATCACAAGTAGGCAGAGAGGCAGGCAGAGAGTTGGGGGGGGGAGCAGGCTCCCCGCTGAGCAGAGAGCCCAATGCAGGGTTCCATCCCAGGACCCTGAGATCATGACCTGAGCCAAAGGCAGAGGCTTTAACCCACGGAGCCACCCAGATGCCCCTAAATTGTGTTTTTTAGGAAGTTAAGCAGCCTCTCTGAGTTTTTGGTTTCCTTATCTGCAAAATGTAATTACAGTAATTACCTCATAGGGAAGTTGTGTAGTTTAAATGAAATTCTGTTTGTAAAAACATTTTGCTAAGAGCCTACATCTAATTGAAGATTGCTGCCATTAATATTATTAAAATATCTGCATGTTAAAGATTCAATGAAGACATATCATGATAAGCCTGGAATATAATTGCAGCCCCATTAGCCCAGAGTGTGTGGTGGGATATCATTTGTCAGTGGAATACCTAAGGATAAGAGATTATCTGGATTACCATACAATGATTAAGGCAAAGTTTTTACTGTGAAGGGTTATACTTGGTAGAGAGCCAGAAGAATCACACACATGCACTTTGCACTTTGCACACATGCACACATGCACCTGAATCTTTTAGGGAAACCAGCACCTAGCAAAGGGCTTGGCAGACCGTAATTTATTTTTGACAAATGATATCTGCAAAATCTATTCCCTAACAATATCTTCACTAATCAACTCAAGCGATACCTTCGAGGTACATATACAACTAAAACTTTTTAAAGGAGGAAAGTATAAATAAGGAAAAAAATAAGAAAAATTGAAATCTCCTGTTTTATAAGCTTTTTTATATTTCCTGCTGACCTGGAAAGACAATCATTTCTTTCATACATAATTCTCCCTTTTCTGACTTTGTCCACGCTTTTCTTCCTAAGAATAACTTGGCACGTGTGAAAAATATGAAAAAATATGTTCCAGTGCTGTGTAAGTACTGCATGGGCACACGTGGTTGGAGTCCCCCATCTAGGTGCTCATGTTAATAAATGTACATTTTTAATTGACTTGGTTAAAAAAAAGAAGAAGAAAAGAAAAGTAGAAAGGGAAAGAAAAACACGACAATGGAAAAACCCAGAAAATGGAAGTTTCTATATTCACTATTTAAACGGCACTCATCAACCAAAGTTCTCAGAGCCTACTGAGACTTCCTCTTCAGGCAGTCCTGCAGAATCGCCCCCCAGCTGCCTAATGGCCCTCTCCATCTCTGTGCTGCTGGCCCTGGTGATGCTGGGCTCCAGCCCAGCCCGCTCTCTGGACTGTGTCCTGCATCCAAGCCATGGCAATCTGGAAACCTTCCCACTGTTGAGTCAGATGGAGAGAATCTCCATTCTGTCCTGTCTGAAGGATAGGACTGACTTCAGCTTTCCTCAGATGCTTGTGGATGGGAGCAAGTTTGAGAAGACAGAAGCCACAGCTGTCACGCATGAGATGCTCCGGCAGATCTTCAGCCTTTTCAGCCAAAGGGGCTCCCTGGTGGCTTGGGACGAGACCCTACTGGACAAATTCCTCGCTGGACTTCATCAGCAGCTGGATGACCTGGAGACATGTTTGGAGGAAGAAAAGAACGTGGAACAGTTACCCCAGGGAAGTGAGAACTCCAGACTGGCTGTGAAGAGATACTTCCGTGGAATCAGTCTCTATCTTGAAAAGAAAGAATACAGCCGCTGTGCCTGGGAGGTTGTCCGGATGGAAATCAGAAGGTGCTTGTTCTTCGTCAGTGAGCTCACAAGGAAACTCAGGAAATAAAGAAGATGTTGAGTCTGAAAACTCATCTGGTCAACTAAACGCCTATTTTCTAGGACTCAACATGTCATTTTCATCTCTACTTTTATGCCAGAAGAAAAATAAATAGTAACAAATGTATGGGGTTATTACAAAGTTATGTTAAATGTTGCAAGTTGTTTAGAACAAAGATATGCACAATTCATCTGCAATAGCTTAAGATCTTTTGTACTTTTTATTTATTTAAATTATTTGAAATATTTTTGCTGTTTATACTATTTAAATATTTATTGTTCACAAACTACTTGTTTGGTATTATGTTTTGCATAAGACTATGGTTCATTTTTAAGTTATGGGAAATAAAAGCAACTCTTAAAAATCAATTTTGCTTGCCCACACTTTTTGAGTGAAAACGTAACCCTAAGCCTGATCTCAGAAAATAAACCAGAAGTTTCCTGAATGAAAAAGGACAATGATAGCCCAACATGGCTAGTGGAAAAGCCAATGCTAACATTCATACGGAATTGCAAGTGACTTCAAATTGCCAAAACAACCTTGAAAAATAAGAGCAAAGCTGGAAGGTTCCCATTCCTGATTTCAAAACATACTACAAACTACAGTTATCAAAACCGTGGGATACTGGCATAAAGGTAGACTTATAGACCATTAGAATAGAATTGAGAACCCAGACATAAGCCTATATATCTATAGACACTTGATTTTTGACAGGAGTATTAAGACCATTTAATGAGGAAAGAACAGTATCTTCAATAAAATGATGCTGGGAAAACGGGATATTCACACGGCAAAAGAAGGAATTTGGATCTCAACCTCACATCATATAGAAAAAAATCCAAAATGGATCAAAGATCCAAATATAAGAGCTAAATCTAAAAAACTCTTAGAGAAAAACTCTTAGAGAAAAATAAATCTTGAATGACATTAGGTTTGCCAATTGATTCCTTAGGTAAAACACTAAAAGCATAAGCAACAGAAGAAAAAAAAAGATAAATTGAACTTCATCAAAACTAAAACTTTTGTGCATTAAAGGACACCATCCAGAAAGTGAAAAGCAATCTACAGAATAGAATAAAATATTTGCAAATCATATATCTAATAGGGGTTTAGTATGCAGAATATATAAAGAACTCTTATAACTCAACAATAAAAAGGCAAAAAAAAAACTAAAGAAAAAGGGGCAAAAGATTGAATAGAAATTTTTTGCAAAGAAGATTACACAAAGTGACAACACTAATATAAAATGATGTTCGTTATCATTAGTCATTAGGGAAATGCAAACCAAAACCACAATGACATACCACTTCGTACTCACTAAGATGGGTATAACCCAGTAATGGAAAATAGTGTTGGTGAACGTGGAGACATTGGAACCCCTACACATTGTTGGTGGGAATGCAAAATGTTTCAAATTCTGTGGAAAACAGTTTGGGGGTTCTTCAAAAAGTTAAACATAAAATTACCATATGGTCCAGTAATTTCACTTCTAGATATATACCACAAAAGAATTGAAACTGGATATTCAAACAAATACTTGTTCACATATGTTCTCAACAGCACTATTCATGATAGCAAAAAGTGGAAACAACCCATCGATGAATGAATGGATGAACTTTTGTGTATTCATGCCATGGAATACTGTTCGGCCATAAAAAGGAACAAAGTATTGATACGTGCTACAATGGGAATGAACCTTGGAAACATTATGCAGAGTGATAGAAGCCAGACACACAAAATCACCTATTGTATGATTCCATTTATATGAAATATCTAGAATAAATAAAATCAGAGAGACAGAAAGCAGATCATGGTTGCCAGGCGCTGAGAAGGAAGAGGAGTGAGGAGTGATGACTGCTTTATGTGTATGAATTTTCCATTTGGGGTGATGAAAAAGTTCTAGGTGGCTCTGTCAGTTAAACATCCAACTCTTGATTTTGGCTCAGGTCATGATCTCAGGATTGTGAGATGGAGCCCCACACTGGGCTTCGGGATCTGCGTAAGATTTTCTCTCTCCCCCTCCTTCTGCTCCTCCCCGCCCACCCCTCAAAAAAAAAAAGTTCTGCAACTAGATTATAGTGATGGTTGCACAATATGGTGAATTGTACTAAATACCACTGAATTGTACACTTTAAAATGGTTAGCTGATATAGATAACCGTTTTTTCCTCTGATCATTTCCCATGTTTGTCTTCCCCAAAGACCGCAAGTTCCTTAAAGATGAGGAAATACTGGATCCTTTAACCGAACTCAGCTAGTCCAGAACTTTGAACAGAGGCATATTTACTTGACTGCTGAGGAACTGGTCCTTTAGAGTAGTGATCCTGACTTCCCCTTTCATAGTGTCTTCTCCTGTTTGCAGGGCAGTGTAGGGAGGGCCTAAAGACAGTTAATAAAAGTAAAAAAATTAAATCCATATATATAGTAGTCGTGTTGACATAGTAATCAGAGTTTTTACGAATGCTGCATTATTCCCAATTTTCTCTAGTGTGCTAGTCTTGTCTTCTCCTTTGAACATGGTATTCTTGCAGAGGGACTCCTCTTAGCAACTCCCATGGTTTACTGCAAGTCTTGGGCTAGTTGCCTAACCCTTCTGTGGCCTAATTTTCACGGTTGTTTTATGGGGTTCATAATAAAGCCTACTGCAGAGATTTACGAGATTAAATGAGTAATGGGCACAAAATGCCTAGCACAAAGGAATCACTCAGAAGTGAGATATTTGTTACTTTCATTTTTATTAACTGTGCATATAGTAGTTACTCAGTAAATAATTATTCACTTCCGAGTTTCTTATGGTAATTATTTAAAGAAATTTGGGTACCTCTTGACCTTTGGTTAATGTCTCTACATTTCAGGAGCTGGGAAGAAAGAACTGGTGAACACACAGAGAAGCTGGCAGGGAACTTACCTCAAAAACCAAAGAACAAAAACTTTGGGGGATTAAAGGGTGTTAAAAGTCTTGCATAGATAACAACAACAGCTATAAAATCCAAACCTAATTAAAAAATAGGCAAATGACCTGAACAGACATTTCTCCAAAGAAGATGTACAAATGCTCAACATCACTAATCATTAGGGAAATGAAAATCAAAACCACAGTGAGATGCTACCACACACTTATTAGAAGTTATTACAAAAAAAAAAAAAAAAAGTGTTGACCAGGATCTAGAGAACTGGAACTCTTACTCGGTTGCTACAGGAAAAAGTATGGTGGTTGCTTAAAAAATTAAAAATAGAATTACCATATGACCCAGCAAATCCAGCAATTTTACTTCTGGGTATAGCCTCAAAAGTGAAAGCAGGTTCTCAAAGATACTTGTACACTCACATTCACAGCAGCTAAAAGGTAGAAACAACCCAACTGTCTACTGACAGGTAAATAAATAAAATGCGGTCTATCTGTACAATGGAATATTATTCGGCTTTAAAAAGGAAAGAAATTTGACACATGCTGCAAGACGGATGAACCTGGAGGACATTATACTATATTAAAGAAGCCAGTCACGGAAAGACAAATACTGTATAATTTCAATTATATGTAGTACCTACAGCCGTCACATTCACAGATACAGAAGTGGAATAGAGGTTGCCATGGGCTTAAGGGAGGGGAGAACGGGGAAGTTGTTTTTAATTAGTATACATTTCGGTTTGGCAAAATGAAAGGAGTTCTGGAGGTTGGTTGTACAACCATGTGAATATAATTAGCGCTATTGAACTATGCACTTCAAAATGGCTAAAATGGTAAGTTTTATCCCTTTGCGTTTTACCACCATTAAATTAAACAAAAACAAAAACAAAAACCTTAAGCCTTGCATTGACACACAAACATCGTATCAGTGTGGGTAAAGGCATGGGATTTATTCCGGTTTGAACCAGTGTTTAAATTCCGAGTTCCCACCGCTGAACTGTATGCCCTTGGAAAATATGCAGAACCCTTTTGGGCAACCTCAGTTTTCTTCTCTATGAAATGGGAATAATTATACCTCGCTGCCTCTCAAGAGAGCGCTCTGAGAAGAACAGATCATCTCAAGGTCCCCTGTGGCTCCTATCCCAGTCAAACTTTCAGACTGTCCAAACTCGGGGCTCTAGGGACGCGATGGGGTCAGGGACCTGCGCTGGTCTTCTTGGGGGAGGGTCTCCCGCGGGGGAAGCAGCCTGCGCAGGCCCAGTGCTGCCACCTGCTGGTGCACCTGTGCACCAGCGGAGGGACCGGGAGAGAAATGGCGCCAGCGGTCTCCTGTGCCCAGTGAGGCCCCTCGAGGGATACTACCTTACTGCGACTCCTCCAAGAAGGGCAAGCCGTCTTCCCGCCGCGTGCCACAGGTACTGTTCCGATGGCTGTTCCCAAGCTGTCTGCCCCGCGCGGTGTTTGCCTGCCTTCTCTCCCGGAGCAGGGCAGCGTCCTCGGGGCTCTGGGCCGGCCAAGCTCACTGACCTTTCAAACTCCAGGCTTGAAGCCCCTCTGGCTGCCAGAACTCACAGAACTCAGCCCCTCTCTTTTCCCCCAGTAAATGGCTTTGGGTTATGCTCTCCTGTGGGTTCCCATGGGTGCTCCTGTCTGTTTCTGTCTCGCTTCCGCAGCCCCAGCTCCCGCTCCTCCACAGCAGTCCTGGTGGCTTTCTGCCCCAGATCATGTCTTCGCCCTTCCCAGTCTCTTGGGTGAGGCTTCTTTTCTCCCCCTTTAGTTTTGGAGTTTGTTCAGTCATTCTTCAAGCCGATTTCTGGGGTATTGGGGAGGATTTAATAGTTCTCTCGTTGTGTTTGGGACACGACCAGCCTAGGGTCCTCCTACTCCGCCGCCCACTTAGCCCCTCCCCCACCAAACTCAATTCATTCTTAACCCATATTTCAGCAAGATTTTTTTTTTAAGATTTTATTTATTTATTTGACAGAGAGAGAGAGATCTCAAGTAGGCAGAGGCAGGCAGAGAGGGGGAAGCAAGCTCCCCGCAGCTCAGAGAGCCCGATGTGGGCCTCGATCCCAGGACCCTGGGATCATGACCTGAGCCAAAGGCAGAGGCTTTAACCCACTGAGCCACCCAGGCGCCCCTCAGCAAGATTTTTTAAAATGAATATTCTGTTTATTTGTTAGAGCAAGAGCGAGAGTGAGAGAGAGAGAGCACGCACTCTAGTTGGGGGAGAGGCAGAGTGAGAGGGAGAAGCAGACCCCCGCTGAACAGGAAGCCGGATGAAGGGCTCCATGATCCTGGGACTCCACGTTCATGACCTGAGCGGAGGGCAGATGTTAACCCACTGAGCCGCCCAGGAGCCCCTTCAACAAGATTTTTAGATGGAGCCTTACAAGTTGACTTTAAAATATATCAAGAAGAAATCATTTACAAGAAAATCGGAGAAAGAGGGAAATACACAGATGAGCTTGACTTATCCAAAATGAGATGGTCCTCTAAGGCTATAGAAAGTGAAACCAGGTGGTGTTATTGTAAGAATAGACAAATTTGATCAAGAAAACAGATTAGAGGTTGAGGATAAGACAATTGAATTTAGGGGCGCCTGGGTGGCTCCATCGTTAAGGGCCTGCCTGGGGCTCAGGGCATGATACCAGCATCCTGGGATCCAGCCCCACATCGGGCTCCCTGCTCCATGGGAAGCCTGCTTCTCCCTCTCTCACTTCCCTTGCTTGTGTTTCCTCTCTCGCTGTCTCTCTCTATGTCGAATAAATAAATAAAATCTTTAAAAAAAGAAAAGGCAGTTGAATTTAGTGGATCTTTACATATAATAAAAGTGGCATTTCAAACAAGTGGGAAAAGTGGGTGTCAGGGGCAATTAGCTAAGTCATTTGAAAAATAGTATTATCCCTCTGTCACATTCTTCCAGGTTCTTGCTGCTTTCGGCCTAAGTATGAAATAAGGTGGGGAGGGAGAGACACATACAAGCTAGATATAGTCATGTGACACAACACTAAACAATAGAAGATTTGGGAGAAGCCTGCTGGGCAATTCTAGAGAGAATTTCAGCTCTTATTCCTCTCTTTCTGCTACGGATGCTCTTGAAAGGGTTTGATACTTGGAGCTGGCATACCCGTCCTTCGACTATGAGCAAGAGACCAAGAGAGTCACAGACATGCCATTTAGCAAACTCACGGCTTTGAGCTGCTGCTCTAACCCATCAACCATCACCCTGCAGACTTTAAATTGAGATCCGCACCCCCCACCTTCATTATTTTAACCTCCGATAACTGGTTATCTGTTAACTCACAGCAAAAAGCATTCCTAACCGATACAATAATATTGATCAGATTTCAGCTCTTTCTTCAAGCCCTGGTAGGCTAAGGAATAACTTGTTAATCGATGCATGGGTTCGGGGCACCTATTAAGATAAGTGTTTGGTTTTTCTCCTTGTTGCGTACTGATGTTGTGAATTACATAAACAGGTTTTCTTATTTTGAACTTTGATTAACATGCTGGATGAACTGCTGTTGTTTATAATACACCTCTGGTCTGATTTACCCATATTTAACATGGTATTTTTATCCTCATGTTTATGAGAAGAATGTCCTGTGATTTTCTCTTCTGATTTTGATATCTGGGTTTTAACAGCCTTATAAAATGAATTGATGAGCTTTCTGTCTTTTTCTATGCCCTCTTACAACAGAAACATGATTTACCAAATAGTTTCATGATATGGTTTCCTGCTTTGCTATTTCTTTCTTTGTTTTTGTTTTTTTTTAAGATTTTATTTATATATTTGACAGGGATCACAAGTAGGCAGAGAGGCAGGCAGAGAGAGAGGAAGGGAAGCAGTCTCTCTGCCGAGCAAAGAGCCCGATGCGGGGCTCGATCCCAGGACCCTGGGATCACGACCTGAGCCAAAGGCAAAGGCTTTAACCCACTGAGCCACCCAGGCACCCCAGCTTTGCTATTTCTTCAGGCCACTTGACTGAAGACCCGTATTGCTTTTTAAAGACTTTTGATTATGGATTGTTATTTCTTTTGGATGCAGTACCCTGCTGAAAAGAGTCTAAGAGATAATAAGAAGACCCTCATGCAGTGGGGCTGAACTTGTCTAAAACAATATTTTAGTTTTATCAAAATGAATTGTGTTGTATTTTGAATGTTATTTTTCTTCCTTTGTTCACCTTGCCGAGCAGTGGGCTCATGGATATGACAGGGGCTTGAATTCTTGTCTAGAAAGCTTATTCCGTGAACACAGCAGATAGCGCTGAGAGAACCTCTTGCAGCTTGACGGCTGGAAGACGAGAGGAAGCTCGTCAAAGCTCGTATTTCTAGCACAGTACTTATTCAATGAAGAATACTTAAATTCCTACCATGGGCTGGAAACTGTGCTAATGACTGAGGTTACAAAGCTCAGACTCAAAAAGTCTAATCTTCTCGAAGAGACAGAAAAAATGAACCATCAGTTAGAGAACAGAATGATAAGCATTCTAATGGAAATGCTGTATTTGCACAGAGCCATAGGCATGGGGGGTGGGTTGTGAAACAGAGAGAGATAATCAATTAATTGGTACTTTAAGATGATAGATGGATATGGAAAGACATTGAAAGAATTGGACAATGGGTTAAGGGCCAGAGACATGCAGGGATTTGGAAGCAAGAGCTAGCCAAAGAGTTGTCAAAATTGGACATTTTATGAAAATAAGTAAAAACTAGGAACAAAGTCAAGTTTCCCTGCTTACAAGAGGTCTAGAAATGAGAGACGGGAAAGTTACACTAGACCTTGAATGTCCCGGCTACAACTCAGAGACCAGGAATGCTGTTAAATTCCTTAACACAGGCCAGGAAAAGAGACCTCTCTGTGCCCAGTTTCCTTATCTGTAAAATGAAGGTAATAATAGTACCACTTTTATAACTGGGGCGAGGATTGGTTGCTTTCATTTAGATAATGTGTTCAGAATGATACCTGGCACTTAGTATGATTATTCCCTGATGTTCCAGGTTTGTGGGCAAGAAGAGGCAGTTCCAAGGGAGCTGCCCAGGAGAATTTGTAGGGCCAGCTCAACCACCGCACAAGGAGGAGGAGAAATTGCCATTCTCGGGGATGACTGTGCCAAGTGTATCTCAGGACCCGTTCCTACTCACACACACACTGGCTGTCTACTAGCACATGCCTTTCCTCCACTGCTTTCCTCACTGTGGTTCTGCCTTGTGTTCAGGATCTAGAAGTTTCCACCAGAAGAATCCTCTGCTAAGATTCCGTGCACCAGACTCAGCCAAGCCCCCAGGGCCAGAGGGAAATCCTAGCCTCCTTTTTCAAATTCAATTTGGCAAGTTGCCTTTTAGTTTCCTTTTCACTTGTTGCAGCAGACTCGTTATTTTTGCATTCCCTGTTCCTTATGCAATGGCAGATGATGAAATAAAACTAAATTTAGCTGTAGGTTTTAATTACGTAGAGGATTTTGCTTTGGGCTGTTTCACTTTAAAAAAGACCCAGGAACTTGAGAGACAGGAAACTCCGATGGAGTTCAGACAGTAAGACACTCCCAGGTGTTAGCGGAGGGAGGGGCGGGAGCTTACTCAGCTGTTATTGTAAATGTGCTGCCCATTTAGTTCTCTTCTCAACACCAAGTAGGCCTGGCATCATCCGCCCCTGAGTGGTCATGAAAGTTAAAGAAGTCAGGCTTAGAGCATCGCAGGGTATCTAAAGGGAAATGTAAATCCAGGCTTAAGGCAGACTGGCAGTCAATCAGAACCAGGAGGAGTCACGGCAAACAGGGGAGACGCTGGGTGGGCAGCCCCCATGTGTTCCTGGGCCACCAGCATCTTGATGGGACCATCCCGAGTGTGGCAGGGGGGCGCACAGTGTGGGATCCTCTGGTTGTGCGTGCATATTGGAGCAGGGATGCAGTTAGCAAGAGCTAGGGAGGACCTTCATCAACGTGGCCTTATCCCCGAGGGATCCCAGGTGACCAGGAAGGAAACTGAGGAATGAGTCTAGTCAAAGGCCTATGACAAGACATTCAGGATGTGGGAAAGGGAAAGAAAGAGAGAGGAATCTGAAAATGGGCGTTTAGATCTCAGTGGCATGTTCTGCCTGCTCACACCAGCTCGGTGGCCTGAAGGTAGTTGGCTCCCTCAGCAGCTGCTGGCTTGTGGTCACAGGGAAACCCCAACTACAGCCTGGGGCATCGAGTGTGAGCAAGAAGAAGGAAGCAAGTGACAGATTCTCCCCTCACCCCAAAAGCAGGCTTTTGTTGTTCTAAAGGTAAAATAGGAATTCTACTGGTTCCCGAATAAAATGTCTTCAGTGAAATGAAAACTTTTGGTGAAATGACCATGCATTTTTATTGTTGCAGAGAATATTCTTTTTGAACCAAGTTCTTCCTCATTTTCTGTGTCCTCATTACCT